GAGACAAACAACCATTCACTCTCTCACTCACACCTAGGGACAATTTAGAGTTACTTTTATTACTAATCGTATGCATTTCTAAAAATACTACCAAAAAAAATTAAAGTTGTTCAGCTGAGCAGAGAGCAGAAACACCATCACTCCAGTTCCTACATCACAAAGGTTGCCTGCAAAATAAACAACAGATTATTATTTGGTGAGTGGAACCCAGGCTGCTACACTGGTCTTTGAAAGAAGATGATGTGAGATATTTTTAGACCTAACCATGGATATAAAGTTTATTGACAGATAGAACACAAAGACTTTAAATCTGAACAAACTTGTGCAAACTAACCTGCAGCACCCAGTCTGTTTAATGTCAGTGGAGATGCAGACAAAGAGAAGTCACTGAAGTCATGAAAATCATATTAATGGTTTTAAACATAGACTAACAAAGGTATTGATTAACTAACATGTTTAGTCTTATTTGCTCTTAGGTGATTGGACTGGGCAGAACTTCTACAAACTGCTGAACCTGTGCCCGTCTTTACTCCGGAGAGATCAGCCTCTAAACTTTTTATTCTCAGAGGAGAGGTTCCCAATTTACCAGATGATATGAAAAATATTCCTCCAGATGTTTGTTTGTACCATTTTCTTCAATTCACAATTTTCTTTTTTTTTTTGCTGTTAAATTTAAAATCATCTTTTTTTTGTCATATTTAAAATTATTTATCTTCACAAAATGCATTGTAACAAAATATTGAAAATATGAAATTAAAAAACTTTTATATCCATTATTTTTTCATAAAATATAAACTTTCACTGCAAATTACAATAAATTTAAAGACTTTCTACATTAAAATGGCTCAAAAACAGTTCGTATTTTTGAGAATGAGTCTGGAAAAGTTTGGAAATCCAAACTGATTAAAAGTCCTGGCTGCTGAAATGATCTTTGAAAGAAGATTTAAGAGGTTTTTGACTTGGATAAATTAGAAGTTTCGTGACAAATATTGTACAAGGAGACTTTAAATTTGCTAGCACAAACGGGTTTGATACTCAAATAAATCTTTTTTTTTATTCAAAACATCTACATTTTTAACTCCATGACACAAATATTTTTTATGAGTTTGTTGTAAAATATAAAAAAGGCACTTCTGAACTTTTACTAAAGCCAAAGTTTATTTAAACAAAATACTTCTTTATGGTAAGACATAGGAAATATAATTTACATCTTTCTGGTGGAAAAATACATTTATTTACAGGAAACAGTTTTTGGTCTCATGTCTTTCCAAACAGGAAGTCCGTGAGCTCTGAAGGTTAAAGTGCAAACTAACCCGTCTCTTGTATAAAAATCAGCTCAGATTAGTTCATGTTGGCTGTAATAACCCGGTACAAAGAGTCCGGCTCGAGAAGCCCAGTCTGCCCACAGTTTCCCGGGGGGGTGAGAAATCCACTCCCTGGGTTTCTTCGCGGTCTCTGACGTGGCGGTTTCTGCCAGAGACCAGATCTTGGGCTTCTGACTGACGGTGCTTTTGCTCTCCAAAGCTGAAGGAGCATCATCAGAATCTTTCTCCTCCAGGTCTCGGTCCTCCTGAACCTCCTGGTCCGCGCTCTGCTCTGGAGTCTCCAAATGCGCCTGAGTGCGCACTGAGCTCTCCTCCGCGCTCCCGACCTGCTCCCCTGCGGCCGCGCGCTCACTCTGAGGCTTGTCTCCATCATCTGGGTGACATTTGTCTTCATCACTGTCTCCCTCCTGCTCCTCATCCTCCTCGTCAGACTTGGCCCTGGACGCCCAGCTAAGCCGGTTCTCCTTCTTCAGGCGGCGCCGCGCGTTGGCGAACCACGTGGAGACCTGCGTCAGGCTCATCTTGGTGATGATGGCCAGCATGATCTTCTCGCCCTTGGTGGGGTACGGGTTCTTCAGGTGCTCGTTGAGCCAGGCTTTCAACGCGCACGTGCTCTCGCGGGTGGCCACCTTGGCCGCCCTGCCCAGATCCTCGGCCTCACACTGGCGGTAGGGAGGAAAGAAAAGCGCCCCGCGCGCCAGGAGAGCTTGGTGGTACTGGGAGGGGGCCTTCAGGTAGAAGCCGCCACTCTGGAAAACAAAAAGAAGTCAGAAGGAGCGCGTCAGGGACATGGACAGGCCATGGACAGGACAGGACATGGACATGGACAGGACATGACATGGTCAGGATTCGTGAGGACGGTGGGACGGAAGGACTCACCATGATGTGTCTGTGCTGCGGATAGGGGAGGAAGTTGTATCCCTGCAGACCTGAGTATGTGACAGGAAGCCCAGCTGCCAGGGCCGCCAGGTGCCGAACCTGCGGCTGCACATCTGGGAGGGGGGCCAGCACCGGGACCTGGTACCCTGCCGGCATTTCGGCGCTCCTCTCCAAGAAGAAGTTCCCAAATCCACTTTGTGATGCGGGCATCTCTCCTATGTCCCTGAACTCCTTTGAACGTCTGAATGACTACAAGCTCCCATTTATACCCCCCAGCTGCCAGAGTGTGTGTGTGTGTGTGTGGGGGGGGGGGGGGTGCACTATTGATTGACAAGTACTTTGAAAAGACCTCCAGCTTTCACTGAGCAACAAATCCCTTCAAAGACGCTCCTTTAATGTGAACACGAGCAGGACCTTTGAAATGTTCTCAGACTCCTGAAACTTGAAATGATACGAGGCCAAGCTGTGGGACACATTTCTTCATCAACATATATTCCTCTACCCTGTGACGTCACGTTTTGATGAGGACTTTAACGCTTCTTGTGTCTCGCGCTGATCCGTGTAAAGTAAAGAAAAAAGTCCTGAATGTGGTTAACAGCTTCCTGTGAGCCAGTGTGCCCCCGCTGTCACCTACATGAGCCTCACTGATCCCGGATCAGTTTCTGCAGGTCTGCAGACAAATCATCCAGATGTTCGTGACGCCCGGAACCATCTAGTGATTATGAAACCGAACCGGAACAAACGGCGCGTCTGCAGAATCTGATCAGAGGAGATCGTTTTAAGATAAGGTGTGTGTGTGTGTGTGTGTGTGTGTGTGTGGGGGGGGGGGGGGGTGTCAGGCATAAGAATATTAAAAAGTAAATTTAACATTTTGTATAACTCCTGAGGTTTTTCCATCTGCTTTATGGCACATTTGAGTTCGTGAATTTAGACTTTTATCATTCTTTGGATAGAAAACATAATATTGCTCAGAACACATTTATCCATCTAATTTAAAATAAAATAATATATTTATATACACATGTTCAACTTCCACGTGTATCATTTTATTTTATCATTTAAGAATAAAATCAAACTTCTACATTTGGCAGAAATCCTCTGCACAACTTAAGTGCATGTTTTGCCTCTGTACCTTTTTGTGGATAATAAAGCACAGATGATTCAGAAGGAGCTGCTGTTTGTGAAGCGAGTGGTTTTTAAAGTTGTCTGTTCCTTTAAACTGCAAGGGGGAAAAAAATTGTTTCAATTCTTGATGCGTCTTTTTGATGTTTGCAAAGAAAACAAGATAAACAGTTTAATGAAGAATAAAAATCTGACTGTCATAGCACTAAACTCGTTGTTTCCCTCACATATGAATTTATTTGGAGCCCAACTGTTTTAAAAAGCAAACGTTCACAAATCTGTGCTGAAATGAGCAGCAGGTCTTAGTTCTTCTCATACATAT